GAACAATCAGTTAACAGTGAGGTAGGGAACACATGCTGTTTTGCAAACTGGTCCAAGAATTTGGTTCTGCTTGTAGAAAGAGCTTAAGATGATGTCAGTATCATTTAGGGATCCAAGTACATGTTACTTCAGTAGACATTTCATAGTATCCATTATAGTTACAGATGTTACAAGTGTCTATTTTTTTTTTTTTGTGTGTGTGCTCATAACTTTCCAAAACCCTGATCACTTCTGCTGAAATTTTATTTTGTTCTCCTTTGCGGTCTTTCGGGGGAAGGCTTCAAAAAAAAAACTTCTTAGCTGTTGTTTAGATTAAAAGGCAAGGGAAGTACACTATTGCCTACTGATAAAACTCTTTTTAACAAAATACACAATTGTGACAACACACCTCAGCACAGACCCCGTCCTTAATGAGGACGAGAAATTCTGCTTGGTTTTGTAGGTAAAACTGCTTAAACAATTTTAAATCATGTTTTAGTGTGCTGGAGAAGATCTGCTTGTGTGTGTGCCACTGCCCTCTGCTGCACAGAGGCAGGAGTGCTCAGAGGCTTTTGTGGTGGCCTATCTGTATTTCTGCTTAGATCAAGCATTCAGGTCCTGTGTAAGCAGTTAATTCACCTCTGTGGGAGTCAGGCAGCATAACGCCTGTGAAGATCTGACCCTTTCTGTCTGCTGCCAGGAGAAAATGCCATGGGGAAAGGCTGTGCAGGTATGGTGACCACCACAAAACCCCTTGATTGACCTAGATTGTTTTTCATGGATTGCTTATCCCAAAATATCTAGGAGAGACACTGCAAGTGATATTGTGTTTCAACTGAAGGTTGCTAAAGCCTGGCTGAAGCATACTGGCCTTTTGTTCCCTTTGCCTGTATGATGTGGCATGTAACAGCCTGATAACCTCAAAACTGAAATCGTTTTGCCTAATACAAGTTATTGGGCTAATTATAAGCGTTATCAGGATAAATGCATTGGGGTAAATATAGGGATAACTGTAACATGGCCAGTAAAAGATGTGATTATCTATTCCGGACTTGAGTGCTAGGAACCCATGAAAATCACCTAAAAGCACTGAAAATGTTTAGAGTCATAGTCAGCCACACAGCTGCAACCCCCTGTCAAGAGGATAGTTTTTCTCAGCACACAGAGAAGGGAGTTTAACTCATCTGCCTGTTAATCTCTGTCATCTAGAGACACTATGCCCCATATGGATTTATTGAGGCAGTTAAGATAACACATCCACCTATCTCAATCTATGGATTTACACCTTTTCATGCTACTTTTTTTCACTAAAGTCAGGATTTATGTATTTATGCCCTTCAGTTTAATAACAGTGATCATTAAATGTGAACGGTAGCTTACACCTTTTTCAGAATTAGCTCCCAATGAAATTAGGGTGAATTTTGCCAGTTGGAACAGAATCAGACCAACAGTGAGTGCTTTTGAATTATAGTCCAGTTATTTCTTTTGCTGTATTTCACAAGTATACAATTTTGTTCTTAGAAAGGAGGTTGGTTCAACTGTGTGTCAGCCTCCTCATGGATTGGGACGCTTAAATCTGACAACACATTAGAGAAACTGCTGTAGGGACCAGTTTTCCACGGAAGCAGGGGAATTAGGCGTATAGGACTGCCTTGGTTTGTTTCCATCTGTGACTTTTGTTGGCTTATCTATCTGAGGCTGCTTAAACAATGCGTGAACTATTTCCTGTGGATTACCCTAGAAAAACCTCATAAGGGCATATATAAAGTTGCAGATCACTCAAAGCTAGAGGATAATTTCAGGCCTTATCTTTAATGGTAGACAAAGCAGGTAGGCCAAGTTGTGAGTCTTCTCTAGTTATAAATATACATACATACATACATACATATATATATATATATATATATATTTTGTGTGCTAGCAGACATAGGTTTCTCTATTGAATATGTGCCACTTTAAGTAGAATGTTGTCTCTATTCTAGACAGCAGCCATACGAACTCAGCTGGGGTCCTGAGTGTCAAGCTGAGTGCTTTTCTTTCACCATAATGCAGGTCCTGTAGGCTAAACTACTGGTAGGCTGTCAGTGACACTTCTGAAATCCCTTTGATGGGCTTACACAAATGCAAAGCTGGGTATTTAACAATGCTGATGATGGTATATACAACAAGTGTCTGAATCCTGCTCACTCTGCGGTGTCTTCTGTGTGTTTGCGTTTGTGCATATATATATAGATATATGCATGAATATACAAAACTATGTGAAATGTGAGGATTTCTGTGGCAGACACACCTGTTTCACACATATTTTGTGCCTGTGTTTAATAATAAACGGGGACTTGAAGTAGAAATAGCAACAAAATGTTACTGAGAGCTTATTTAAAAAAAACAATCCTGTGACTATGGCATCTCACCCAATCAGAAGCACTAATTTTATCAGAGAGAAATTATAAAAGTGAAAAATGGTGCTAGTTCTTAAGTAGACTCCCTATTTGTTCAGCTTTTACTTCCTTCACTTTGAAATAATGCACTATAATCATTCCACTTTTCAAAGCCTTTATCTCTAAGCTGTGATATCCAAGTAGGTGGCTTGCTTTCCCCGCTCAGATATGCCGGGACGAGACAGCAGATTGTGTTTTCGAGAGACTAGAGAAAATTACTGGCAATTTTTCCTAGGTTTATCATCACACGTGAAAGAACATTGACTGTATTGAACATTGACTTCCATAACAATTTTGTCTCCCTAAAAGGAAAATTTTAGTTTCCTTAGTTCACTCATTTTGAATGAGTGAATAAGCCTATTGGGAAGGAGTCAGTTCTTAAACAAAATACTTGTTCTTGTAATCGCCACGTTCTTGCTTCCTCTCTACCTCCTCAAAATTTGCCACAAAGAAACAAGTGTGGTAATTAATCACCTGGTAGACTGTTCCTCATTGCCAGCCAAGTAGCACAACTGGTGCTGTGCAAATACAGTATCCTCTGTGGGAAGTGATATCAATAAATTAGTTTAAGTTAGAATATATTCCCTTCTGTGTTGAAGTACCACTGCAGCCACATGCGCAGACAGACAGATGTGCCAAAAGGGTGTGTTGTATTAAGTTTATATTTTTTAGATGTGATACTTTAATTTTTCTTTCCTTTCCAGAGAATCAAAGCAGTTTTCAAAGGACTTAATTTCTGTGCAATGGAGCTCATGGGCAACCACTCAATAAAAGCAAAATAAGGAATGTAGTCATGGTTCTAAAAACATTTCACATTCTTCAAACTGATGCCAGTTGTATGCACTGACAGTAATCCTGTCTAATCCCCTCCACACGTATTATCTTTGTACACCTGCTTCCATTATCTCCTTTATCAATTTTTTATACTTAGAACCACAAGAGGGTTAAGCACCAGAACAAAATACACATGCATGCAAAGTATTCCATGCTGCAATTTGGAATGATAGACATATAACATATTTGTAGTTTTTGGTGCTTAGAGTCAACATCTTCCATTAAAATATTTTTTCCTACTCTGTGTGTGTGTGTGTGTGTTTTTTCTTCTTTTTTTCCATTAGTGTATATCTATGCTTGTCTTTCTTGACAGATTAACCGAAGCGCATCAAACAGCTGTAAAAGTCATCAGGAGAATGCAATATTTTGTAGCTAAAAGAAAATTTCAGGTAAGCAGCACCGTTAACAATAAGTACAATTTGTAAGTTTAAGTGTAGGATGTTGGAAGTGCTCAGGGAGTGAACTTGTCCTTGAGCATATGGTTGTAATAAGTCATAGGTACTGCTTAGCCTCCAAGCCTCATACCTACCCTACATGTTATTTTTCATAATGAGTGCTAAACTATCAACTGTCCATGGATATAGTATGATATGAAAATATTCTGAATTTGTAGAGTCAGCAGTTATTTTTCACTTCTCTTTTTAACTTTTTTTTTTTTTTTAACTATGCTAACCAATATATAATCAGCTTGCCCATCTACTAGAAGAAAAGAAGAAAAGTCTCTGTTGGAGTGTCTGCTTAAATACTATTACTGTCTACACTGATCATCTAACAACCAGTTAGAAAATGTTCCACTGATTTTGTGCTGTGCATGCCTTATATATCAGTAGACCTTAATGACCAGCAGTATGCTGTGTAAAGTTGCTTTCACATTTGTGATCTATATTTCCAAATTGGTTTCCCAGCTTGAGACTTCATAGAGGGGCTTTATTTTCAGGAACTGTGGAGCATCTACCCTCTGGAAATTTGCTGTCTTTATGAAGTCTCAAGTCAAATTTCTCAATCATATTGCTAAATGCCCAAAATATATCTGCTACACTGGAAAAATTGACTTATTTTGCCCGCCTACCAAGGCCCGCTCTGATAAAACTTTTTTAGAATGAAATTCTGGTATGCTCATTGAAGTCACCCATGTGCTGGTGGTGTCATGGAAATGCATAATTAACTCCTGGCCTGATTTTCAAAGCACCTGTTACTTCCATCTGAAGGTTCACACTTTTGTCCAGGCAAGTCCACTGCAAGTTAATCAGTTCTCATTGTGCTTTTGAAGAGGTTTAAAAAAGATAAATGAAGAGCCCAAACTTCAAGCAAGTCCGACTTGAACTGAGCCCTGAACTGCAAGGGATCTGAAACAATCTTGCAGTGCTCAGACAACTGAATTAGGGCTGACAGCCTAGCACAGACATTTCCCAAGCTCATGCAAAAATGTGTCTCCAGATGACCTTATCTTATGAGAGAAGACTAGGAGAATTTGTTTTGTTAACTCAGCAAATGGCAGACCAGGAGAATTAAATGACTCCTAACTGTATCAGAGGAGTAAATATCACTGGGAATGAAAAAAATAAACTAAAGGACACCACTGCTGGAAAAAAAAAAAACCTATTATATGTTGGGATGACAATCAGGAGAAGATTTCTAAGCATCAGAGAACTGATATTCTGGAGCAGTTATCCAAAAGCAGTAATGCCAGGCTTTAAAAACTGAACTTGATCAGTTTATGGAAAGGATTCTGTAAGCTGGTGTTCATGATGAAGTTCAAAGCCAGGATGTTATTTCAAGTTTTGCCTTAGGAGCGCTGAACACTCTGGGCGTAGAATGCTGAGCCGAGCAACCAGGATTTTGGATTTATTTGGGGAAAAAGAATTGAGCAGACTGAGAGTTAAGTAAGTTCATCAAGTTCTGCATTCACCAAGCCTCCCTGAAGTCCATTTACATCCCTCCCTGAGTTATATTGTACATCCTAGTATTTCTAAATAAAAACAGGACAAGAGATTGTGTTTAATTCAGACACACTTGTGGAGATTGTGCCAAAGTTTGGCAGAACAGAAGATGTTCAGATAGAAGGGTTTATGGGAAAGGGGGAGAGAAAAATGGAGAGAGCTGGAAGGGTATTTTTGCTATGCATTAGAGAGGACACAGGCTGCAGTGTACAGTACTTTGCAACAGACGGATTCAGGGTGGATGGTTTGGTAGAAGGGATAATAGATAGGGGGCTTTTTTAAAGGGAGAAAGGAAATTTTATTGGGAATGAGTAGAATTAATTATGCACATAGTAGCCCATGGGGAAGAGGGGAGGGAGGTGGGGAAAAATCCCCAGCAGATCTAGGCTCTGCGCCATGCATCGTGTTTAAATAGAATGTCCAAAGGAAAGGACAGAGGATTTAGCCAAAATGCTCTCAAAGCACCCCTGCTAGTCAATCTAAAGAGTGATACTGGCACTGTTTCCCTGGGTGAAGACAATAGGCTGCTTTTCTGGCCAGAAATAGTGATGTGTCAGCGTCTGCAAGTGAAGCTGGGGAAGGCAAAAAAAAAAAAAAAAGGTGATAAACTGAAAGCTGAAACCTCCCTCCCCACAAAGTATCTCTTCTCACAAATACACACAAATGCACACACACCACCAAAACCATGAACTCTGCACTCTGCGGAAGGTATAATGCAGGTAGATGCTGACGGCTAAGCACGAGGAAGGCATTTTTTCGTGAAGAGCCCTTGCTTCTTCATTCATTTCACCGGATTTGTTTCCATTCCAGTCCCGTGCTTTCATTTGAAATTTCTAGGATCCTGTGGCTGCCTTCCAAGCATGACTGCAGCACATACTGTAGGTGTTCAATGCATGTGTGCAGCGGTGCATGCTAATGGCTCTGGCTGAAGCCCTGACAGAGTGGAAACAGACAACAAGATGACTAATGAGCTGTTTTCAGTAATTTCCAATTACTAGATTTGCAGTTTACCTTTCTTTTTTCTTCTTCTTTTTCTTCTTTTCCTGAGTTGAAGCCAAAAAGGAGACATCTTGCTGCACATTTCCCATACGGGTTGGTACAGCTCTGAAAATGCTGATGTTTTGAAAAGGACCTCATTTACATTTCCCCCCATCCCCAGTTATTTTAATTTTATATTGTTTTCTCTTGGTGCACCTTTTGTACTCACATCATTTTATGCCAATTCTTCAGACTTGCTTTTAAATTTTGCCTTCATCATTACAGCAAGAAACTGGCATTTGGCAGAGTTTGGAATCTGGATCCTCATTAGAATGGAAATGAAGCTAAGCAAATGGCAGATTTTTACCTCTTTTCCATTTTCTATATTTCCTTTTTATTGATTTGAATTGTACCTTTTTTCTGACCTAGTAGGTATCACTAAAGACAAAACACTCCAAACAAAATCTACATGCAGCTGTATTCATGCTTATGCAATTATTTAAACAATAATATTCCTGTCACCAGATATCTTTAGTTCTTGGAGGCATTTCTTTTTAGGTCCAAGTGTTATGAATTGGGCCTATCTCTGTGGTTTAGTACTCTGACATTATGCTTAGCACATGGTTTTGGAATGAGCTGAGAGAGATATCACACATGGTAATCTTAGATAAATTATATATCTTGGTTTTATATGTTTTAAATAGACTGTGAAGGTCTAATATTTTGCTCAGTATGAAGTAACACGAAGACACGACTCTAACTGACAGTAATGGGGATCACTTGGCTCTATCTTCACAATAAATATGTACTCCTACAATGCCTACATACTTTTGTTCATTGCAAAGACTGTTGAAAAATGGCAACCAAATGACCTCGGAAAGATAAAAAATAGAATGAAGGTCTGTCTGAAATAAATAATCAAGTTTAAACTACACTTACCTTTCACTCTCTTGTATGACTCCTTTCACAGCAAGCTCGGAAACCATATGATGTTCGCGATGTGATTGAACAGTACTCACAAGGACACCTCAATATGATGGTTCGGATAAAAGAACTTCAAAGAAGGTAGGCCCTGTCTACCTCCTGAAATATTTGATTTCTCTGGTGCCAGCTGGCCTTAGGAGAGATGTGTACTTAATGAACAATAATTGTCCAAAATTGCAAGCACAACAGGGAGCACAATATCTAGAGGATTTAACTTAGAGTCATTTTTAACCCTTTTTATGACTGAGGTTACAATTATCCTTTATCCTCCTCTCCGCTTCCTCTAAGTGAAATTAGAAGAAATTAAGGTAGATATGGTGAAGTTTATAGTACACAGAGAGCTTTTCTGCCTTGTTCTTAGAAAAGATAAACTTTTCAAATAAAAACTCTCCTTTCTGTTCCCTCTCTGCAATTCTGCACAGTTGAGAGAAATCTGTTTCACTTGTGCTCCCCTCTCTATCTGGAGCTTTTCCCCTCCCACATTCCTCCTTGCACATACTTTCTCCAAGTTTGAGGATTGCCACTGAAATATTGTGCCACAAAACTATGCTCCTCTGTTTCAGCACAAAGTGCTTTTCTCTTTACAAATGAACACTGTGGGCCAGGACACCAGATTGAACTCCTCTGGCCCTTAAATGAAGAGAAAAAAAAATCCTATTGAATGGAATCTACTGTGTCAACATTTAGAGATATTAAATCTGCCTGCATGTGATTCAAGGAACAGTTGCAAACGTTATTAAGAAGCCATTCTGTTTGGATAGTCTTTGTTATTAGATTACATATGATACAGGACAGCTATGTTTTAGTCACAACATGAAAATCAAAGAAATAAAATATTGGTACTCATGCTAACAACAGTAATAATATGGTTTGATTCTAGAAAAAACCTATAAAGGACCAAATTGCTGACTGTATTTATATGCAGTAAATGATGCAAGCCTACTGTTTTTACCTGCTTTGTTTTGGGTTTAAAGCTACTGTAAATTCTCATGTAAATTATTCTTCTCTACTCTTCCTAGCAACTGCCTCTAAGTTGTTTGGTAATTCCGCTGCTGGTAATTCTCCATTTACTTTTCAGATTGGACCATTCTTTGGGAAAGCCAGGCCTTTTCCTCCCAGGTATAGTGACTATATTTTATATAAAATGATTAGCTTCACAACTCGGTGAAAATACCTGCCGCTACAGCAATGTCGATTAATAATACAGCTAATTATGAATGAATATGTGATTCTGTTAATATCTGTAATATGTAATATGTAATTCTGTGTCCTGGGACAGCTGTGGAAAATAAATACCTTGCATTCAGGTGGTAGTGAGGTAAATGGAAATTGAGAATAACTGTTGAAAAATATGCATCAGTGCATAGTGACCTGGAAACAGCTTACCAGAAAATTTTCCACAAACATGTTCTTTCTAAATCTTTTGAGCTGGGGTTAGAATATATATTGATCCCACTTAAAAATATTTATTTCTATTTGAACAACCTATGGATTTAAGTTCTGAAAAGCCCAAGGAAAGATCATTCAGGAAGAACTTCTAGCACTCTTGAATGCTAGAGTGCTAGAAGTGGTATGAAATTCAATCATAAAAAAATGCAAGGTAATATGCAGGGAGTCTAATTTAAAAATGTCTTCTACATGCTAGTGAGGGTCAACAGTCTGACCTGTCTGAGAAAAAGAAAGGCTTGGTAGGCTAATTGTGAGCAAATGCTAACTGAATGTAAGCAATTGTTGTGATGTATCCATGAAAAAAATTAGTCTGATCCTTGGATCAGGAGAGAGATTTTCAAGACATACCGTAAAGTATGCATGTCATTGCACAAGACTCAGGTAAGACCTTATGTGGAGTATTGTGCAAAATTCTGATTATACGTGTTTTTGAAAGACTAACCGGAATAGAAATAGGGAGAAATGCCTGTTCGTCAAGTGGGAAACAAAAGTTTACCTCTTTTTAACCTAGCAAAACAAAGGGCTGGAAGTGATCATTGTCTGTTAATTCTGCCAGGGGAGTAATTGTATGTGAGGGAAAAGAAATACATAAGAGAAAGGAAAGTGCAGGCAGAAGAACAAATGGCTGTGAGCTGGCCATAAATACATTTAGGCTAAATATTGGAAGAAAGTTTCTCCAGTTCAGAACAGTGAGATTCTGGGGTAATCTTCCAGAGGGAGTCATGGACATGGAAGCCTACATGCATCTGCAGGAGGCATTGAAAGATGTGGTCCTCTGTTACAATAAGAGATTGACCTGAAGTTTCCAAAGGCCCCATCTCATTCTGTGTCCCTACAAGTTCAAAAATAACTTAGAAGCTAAAGTCCTGTATCCCCAAGGGACTTTAAACACTCATGGGCGTAGGTGTCAAGGGATGCTAAAGTTATTTTAAAACCTTTAAAAATATCTCCACAGTACCAGTGGTTAAAATGGTTTATATCATGGGAACAAGGGATGTCTCTCAAAACAGAATGAATTTTTAACATCTGATCACTGCAGAAAATACTAGGTAGTACAGTCCCCTTCCCAGCAGCTGAGCTGGTTTGGGACCACAGGAAAATAATCAGCCAGCTTGAGGACATCTTCTATAAGTATTTATGCTTGGGAATTCATTCCACAATGTGACCTGCACAAGCTACGTTTGTGGGAAAGTTTTGCTTTACCTTCAAGCACATATTGTTTTACTTTAAATTTAACATTACTAAATTAGAACTGTAATATGTCGTCAAAAACACTGGTGTTTGAGGCTTTTGTAATGAAACAGCTTCTTGTTTCAGAAGTGGGGTGTAGAAGTGTTTGAGCGCAAAGAAGCTACCTGGAAAGTAATGCTCCTAGCACTTTGGGGAGCTGAATGTTCTCCATGAGTAATTCAGTATCAGATTGTGCTGAAGATGTTCAGGAGATTTAGTCACCAAATCTTAGGTCGAAAAGGTTATAGGAATCTTTGGGAGGATCTTAAACAGGTTGTGGATTTGCATGTGTTCAAAGTGTTCATGCGTTGAACAGACCTGCTAGTTACTGAGGCAGGCCCCTGTGTCTGCAAGCTGTGATTGATGCAGCCCAGGGCAACCCACATACAAAGACTGTGCTAGAAGACCAAAGAACAGGAGCAAAGTGAAGGAACTGCCTGTTGGCCTGAGGTTACACAGCAGAGCTCTCTGCACCAGCTACGTCCTAGAGAGACAGTCTACAAATATAGCCCCAGATGATAAAAAGTTCAAGTCAAAGTCTGTCGCAGGCTTTTTAGCATGATTTTTTTTTTATTTTGACTTTATATTTGGGAAAAAACCACTGGCTTCTACGTGTAAGTTGGGGGAGGTTCATCTTCAGAAGTCTTTATGATGCAAAATTGTATTGGGGAGAGCATCTAAGGACTTCAAAGTTCTCTGGAAAAAACAATATATTGTGCTCTGGAGAAGAATATGGCATCTCTATTATACAGCTAGCTTTCCTTGTTAGTCTTCTTGCAACCGCATTACTGCTGAATAGCTGCTTTGAGATGGCTCTATCAGATGCAAAAACAAGGTGGTGCTGCTGGAAGCACTTCTACAAAGTTATACCTCTTGGAAAGAAATATGTCTCCGTCCTCAAATGGACGGAAGAAATACTGACTGGTACAGGTAAAATGGTTCTTAGAGCTGCAGAATGTGGTAAGCTCAGTTCTGGGTTTGCGAGACCAAACCAGAAGTAATTTGATTTAGTAGTTGTTTTGTCTAAACCCTTCACAAATCCAAGAATAAGATAAGTGATTCCAGATAAATGGCTTGCAAAACTAAAACTGGGTTACTTCATAATTATTCCTGCTATTATCCAACCCACCAATAATCAATGGTTATTGTATTGGTCTGCTTTGGGTGATAACAGACTGTTGCATTGTCCTTCACCTCACGAAAGTGGGGGTCTTCCTGAGTCTTCCTCAGAATGGATGGCCAATTCTACATCAAAAGTGTATTTTCAATATGATATATTTTTCCAGTTCAAAGAAATTGCTGAAAACCTCACTTATAAACGGTATGGGTGTTTCCTTCAGAATGTGTTATTTTTATATTGATGGCAAGCAAAAAAGAAATGACAATGCAAAGAAAATCAAACCACCAAGGAGAAAAATGAGAAAAAAATTTCCTTTCCAGCTCCTTTTTTTCTGTTTTATTATACTCTAGTCAAAGAATCTTAAGGTGTTATTCCAAGCCTGTTGAAATGAATGGGAATCTCTCCAGTGACCTCAATGGGTTTTGGATCCGTTTATTACTGAAACCCTGTTGTCAACTTTGATAATATTGTATGAAGTAATTACAGTGTGTCTATAGCATAATTACCTTTCAAAAGTGAATGTCATAAAAGATCCAAAAATTGAATTCACTGGAAGTGGTTATTATTATTTTAAAGGCAGCTTCTCAAAGATAAAAAGCACTAAAAGCAGTATTAAAACAAGATTAGGATACAAGGACATATGAACCGCCATGCTGGGTCACAGTTCTGCCTTTGATGGAACCAAAAGCAAGGTGCTTTGGGAAATGTATAAGAAAAGGACGGGCCTAAGGGTCTGACCTTTCTGTTAGCTTCCAGTCATTTGTAGATCAGACACTTCCTGACATGGTTTCTGTGTATTTAGTAGTCCTTGCTGTTTTTATCTCAGCGAGCTTGCCTGTTTTCCTCTGAATCAAATGTAGACTTTTAACATCTGGAGTATCCTGGGACAAGAAGATTCCTGATTTAGCTTACATATACACATTCCAAGTAGCTTCATTTGAAACTTTTTACACTTGAAATGTATTTTAAAAAGTTAAAAAGATAATGAATAAATTTTCTAAGAGTTAAATCCTATTTTATGAGTGATTTATACATTCTATGGCTTAGTTCCATTGAAAGTTTGTGTCAGTGCTCCATATAGTACAAATAATTCTGTAAAATGAAACAAAGATTTCCATAATAGTAAACAAATCCCATAATAATTGAAACTGGTGGTATAGATTAGTATAAAATATGTGTTAATAAAATTTCTAGAATTAACAGAGCAAACACTTATGTAATGATACAAATAAGAAGACCGTCATACTTGACCTTCACTACACCTGATGAAGTTAATTGCTTTTGAATGCACTTTTTGAGACTTACTATAGCTTTTCAGGGGTAAAGGTGAAGAACAATGCCAAGATAAAACAAAAGATCCAGTGTCTGGGTTCAGAAAAATATTCAAAGGACTGATGTTTATCTGAAGTTCCTCTGAACCTCCTGGGTCTACAGAACACAGGTGGGAATCTCTGGAGAAAAAGGCTTTTTTGTAAAATTTTTGGCAGTACTATTGTTTGCTTTATTTCTGTTAAATGCCACCTAAGCTTTTTGATGCTCTTACCTTTCCAGCCAGTAAGGAAAAATTCAGCCATAATATCTTCTAAAGCATAATAAATATGCTTAGTTTAATTTTATTTTTAAAAGTGGGTTAATATTTCAAATGAGAGATATCCACATTTCTGCAGGAACTGGTTTACTCCTTTCCTTCTGGAGAAAATATCAAAGGGAACTTGGTCAAAAATAAAAATTCCTAGGAACAAGCACATTTTCTATAGCTGTCAGCTATTTACAGTCTTGTCTCTGAAAGCTGTTTTTGTTTCTGGGAATAGGCCACCTCAATGCAAAGAGCAGCAGGAGTATCACATCTATCTCACTTTGAGGGCCTGGAACTTACTAAAAGCTATTTTACTGCTTGTCTAGGTCTTCCTCACAGTGGTGAATTTCATTCTTGATAAAAAGCTACTAAATAAACTTATATTTTATATTGAATTTGCTGTACTAGTTGTTTTATAACTATTATCCTGATTGTGTGACTGCATGCTGCCATCAGCACCTTCTGATGGAAGTACAGAAATGTGATGTAGTTCATAGTGGATTCAGTGTTTATGGCTTCTCTTTACTAAACTCATTGCATTATTCCTCATGTACTGCTTGAACAAACTGTGTTGTCTCAAAAGCTGGATAAATGAAGCAGGCAGATAGGCAGAGTGACCTCCTGTTTTTGGTTGTGAATAAACTCCTCCCAGTTTATTGAAAAATGGTTGTACATCTTTAACCTGGCAACAAACACTTTTCTGTGTTACAGTATAGCCTTCCAACCTAAAAATATTTTGATGGT